AATGATATTGCTAATTTTACCTTTCCTAAATTATGTTCATTCTTAATTTTGAACACAAGGTATTCTGTGTGCAGTGACTCTTCTTTGGGTGAATGGTCTGATGGCTCTTTTCTCTCCTATTATTAGCTTTATTATACCTAACATTGTTTGTTCATATTTCACTTGGAAATTCATACTGGTCAGTAAGCACAGCTGCCTGTATCATTCAACACTCTATGGGGAATTGCATGATGTTCGGATTATTGCAGGGTGGTGGTATGTGAGGGACTTTGGATTGAGATAAGGCATCTAAGGTCATATGGGTAGAAATCTCTAAGAAGTCTCCCTCAACCATTGTAAATCATGGAGTCTGGGGCTCTGCCTATGAAGGGCAAAGGGTACAGAGATTATTACAGGTAGGCCTAAAAAAAACTATGTTAGCCAATGATGATGCAGCCCATAAAGACCAACAATGATAATATAATTTATTCAGGCTTTAGTGGGTGTGTATTCTAAAGAGTAGATACTAGGACTTGGCAAAACTACTCCAGTTATGACTTTGTAGTTCGCCCTAGACTGATTGGCTTTAATGGAGAAAGGGAAGGTGATTAGTCCTGGCATCCCTTATATTTAGGCCAGGACACTGTCTTATTTCTCCAGATACTAAATGGAAAGTGAGAATGGTCTGAGAGGTCTTCAAAGGGTGGTTAAAAAAGCTTCAAGTGGGAAAGGTAGAGAGAAACAGCCAGGGGAAGAAGCAGGCTGCACTTCTCATACTGTGGAAGCAGAAGTCCTGGGGAAAGTCAGCCTTGACCTTGGCTTGATGTGTCCTGAAACGGAGTAGCTTCTGCCAAATGTCACTCGGCTCAGCTCCCTTGCCTGACCTTCTTCATTGTCAGCAATGAGTGAAGAGGGTAATGTATCATGAAAGAAAAATATCACCTCAGAACTCAATGGACACCATGAAACCAGATTACGGAAGAGCTCACAAGCAAAGCTATCAGGGAGGAAGATGGGGATGAAGAAATGGGCAGGTGTCAGCTTCATGTCAGTCATTATAAACATTTTGTTTTGTTGTTATTTTTTAATATTTAGCACAATTATTTATTTATGGATCATTTATTTTTGTTGTTTGAGAAGTCCATACATGTATATAATGGGTTTTGATCTAAACCATCATTTTTCTGCTCCTCTCTAATTTCTTAGCTATCCAGTCAACTGATATTTTTTCATAATTCCACATCCTCTTTCTTGAGACATATTGAGTTCATATGCATGTGCACTGATGTAGGACTAGATTATTTAGCTTAAGATGGTGATGCCCATGTTATATACATTTTTATGAAAGCAACATAATTTTAATCTTTTATTCTTATGCTTTTTACTTCAAATTTGTATCATACAAAGAAGTGGCTTGGCTTTGATATATTCATACATACATTTCACTGTCCTTTTCTCATATGCATCTCTGAAACTATATTCCTCCATTCTTTCTAATACCAGTCATCCTCTAAACTCACTTACTTATGCATTCATGATTTGTGTGTGTGTGTGTGTGTGTGTGTGTGTGTGTGTGTGTGTGTGTGTCCCATTAAGCCATATTTTGTGCTGCACATATTCTTAGATATGTAGCCTTCCAAAAGAGCACAGTAAATTACAGAGGACAATACTCTTAGAGAAAACTGACCCTTCCTTTCTCAGAAGTTGAAAGCTGCCAATAGCTCTACAAGTAGGGATGAACTTCCATACCTGTTTCCCCTCTACATGCTGGGATACCATTCAGTAATCCTCTGGATTTCACTGGTATCTGCTCTAATGCTCTCTTTTATTTTTAATTTTTTTAATTTACAACTTCTTGTTTATGATTGTTTGTTCTTGGCTTGATATTGCTTGTTTGTTGTTGAAGACAAGGCCTCATGTATCCCACACTGGCCTCAAAATTATTTTGAAGCCAAGGATGACTTTGATTTTTATCTCCTTCCTTTGTATCCCAAATGATAAGGTTATACTTTAATTAAATGCTAAGGTTATAATTTAATGTATTGTTTATTGCTACTTATATCTCAAAAATGCTTAGTCAATTCATTAACACAATAATGCTTTCTAGAGCAAAAGGGCCTGATGCAATTCACTCTGGCCAGCACAGGCTAAGCAGCTCACCTGGTAAACCTCACTTCAATTTTCCAACCACACAGGGGAGTAATGATTTGATGTACCAGATGGATTCTACATTTTAATGCATTTGAAGGCCTTAGTACTCTTCAGAAACAGAGGGACAGGTGGTCCTCCGGTGTGACAGGAGGAAATTAGTAATTCTGTCTGAGCCATGTTGCCTTTGAAATAGATTTAGAACACGAGTGACAGAGAACCTCCAGGGCCCTGGGAGATAAAGGGCGTGTTTCATGGGGCTCATTGCTTCAACCCCACTCTTGCTAACTCAGTTTTCTCTCTCAGATTTTCTCTACATTCTATTTTTATTATCTCCAATGAGTTCATAGCTCATATCTATTTAATGATACATCAATCTCTTCACTGATTGCTGACAGTGGAAAAAAGCTGGGAAGGACTTGAGTGACATTTGTCAGAATCACACGCTATCTTGTGTGAACCAGGAAAAGATGGACTGTGATGTTTTCCCCCCAGTACCGCCATGTCCAATCTCACCTACATAACATGAGTGAGTCTGCCTGGCTCTCTCCTTCACTCTCCTCTCTAGCTAATTTCTCTCCTGCAGGCCTACCACATGCTGCTGGTCAGGACCTCACATCTCCAGGTGTGCTTTCATCACCTGGAGTATCTTGATTCATCAAGGTGTGCTTTCATCATCAAGTATCTTGATTCAAGTACTTTCATTTGGTCTCTTGAAAAACTCATAAACATGGGGAAATTTTTCACTACAGCATCCTGCCATTGTCAATATCCTCCACTTTTCTCATTAACTTATTCTTCTTTATTCATCTGCTCCTACTGTGATCAATTCTGGTAATGAATTGAGCAGTTTCTCTTCACTGTGGAGACCTAGGGCTCTGCTCTCAGGTGTTCCAAATCAGACCCTGTGCTAGGTGGAGCTGGACTGAGCAAAGCCCTCAGGTTTGACCTCTGCTGCCATAGCTTCTCCATTTGATATGGTGAGAACAGGTTGCCCCTATGAACAGGCCAATTCATTATTCCCTGTTATTCCCTCCACTTCTTGTGCACAGCTGGAAGAGGCTAGGTTTCTGACTTCCAGCTGTTGCTGCTATACTTTGGATTCAGGGAAATGGTAACATGTAGTTTCATGGAAAATATTCCCAAGATGTTCTGGGTTTGCTGTCAAGTTGTTCACTCAGTTTTAAGTGATATTTTTAAATACTAAAAAAAAAAAAAAAAAAAAAAATTCTACTGCCAGTGCCGTTCCATAATTCCATCATATTAATTCTTACAATTTAAAAAAAAGCACTTCAGTGTAGATTGTGTTAAAATTAAAGCATGGAGATACAGGGCCATACAGTGTTTTCATTTGCTATCTGTGTTGTGGACAAAAAGATGGAAAGCTTCCCCAGAATCCATGGGATGCTTTTCTGGATGTTCTTATGTTATAACCACACCACTCAAATTCTAGCCCCTCCATTGCTAAGAATTATACACAACACTCAGAAACTGAATGCTGAAAATTTTATTAGGGTCAGGTAGTCAGTCAACAATGACTTCTTGGCCTATTTTTCAGGAAGTACATAGTCTTCTCAGGCACTCTCTGAAACAGAAAAGGAAGGAGGAAAGTGAGTGAAAACTTGGGACATGCTGGAGTTTCAACTCTTCCTGGTACCACTGAAGTGAGAAAGGTGGGAGCCCAACCCTCTTCTTCTCCCAACTACTTCCTCTCTCTCCTTCCTCATTTTCTCAGGTTTACTCTTGGCAGGCACAGAGCATACAATGGAAGTGAGCTACTTCTTACAATATGGAAGGGAATAACGTTTCTTAGCTTGTTCATCCTTTGGTTCTGATTTAAAATATTCAAGGATTTATTTCGAAAGATGTTCAATGAAATGCACCCTAACTGGATGAAAAATTGAAACCAGCCTAAATGTCTATTAAAAGAATGACAAATAAGGAGATCAAGGCAGATCATGCAATGCAATAGTATACAATGTTAACACAAGAAAATTCTCAGTACACAAACAGCAACATATAACCAAGAACATCAGTGAAGCATGCTATAGGGAGATCCATGTAACATACTTGTATGAAGCAATGCAGTTTTATAAGAAATGTGGTTTTTTCGATAAATAACCTAAAGTTCTACACAGAAGGACATTCATGTAAAATTGAATGCTACATTTATATAATAGCACACACACACACACAAAGTAATATTCCTAGGAGGGTTGCGATAAGATTAAAACTAGTGGCTTCCAAGGACAAGCATGGGTACTCAGGAAAATATATAATCATAATATTTATACCCTTGTACCCTCCTAGGAAGGTAGGTCATGTGAAACTTGAGGACACACAAATTTAGAAGAATGTATTAAAAGTCTGGATAAGGTCAGAGTATCTCTAAGGTATCACTTAGAGACAATGGATCTGAACATCCCTGGTATGAGTGGGGCAGAATGTACAGGTTGGAGATGAGAGATCAGTGATATTGAACACAGGAGACAGGCAACCAAAGAGAGGTTGCTGCTGTACTTCTAAAAACCAACCGAACTCAACAGGCAATGACTGAGATAATAGGAACTGTGGAGCTATATTCCTCAAAAGCAGAAATACCTTGGAGAGCTTGTCCAAGGTCTGCCTATAACAACACACATATACCATCTTATACTATCTGAATGCAAAGATTAGAAATGGGCCCATGGAGGATGTCTCTACAGTTAACTAATTTTTGTACTATGCTTTGAGAAATACAGAAGAGAAGGGTTTCTGTTTAATAATTTGACTAATACTTGTCACTGGCATCTGGATTAATGGGAAGATTTGTCTCAAAAGCATCTCACCTAAGGATGCTGTCTTAACGAAAAATGATGAGGTGGTTTTTTCACGTTCTTTCCTCTACCTAGAGGTGGTCTTTGTTTTCCATGGCCAATATGGGAAGGATTCCTTTTGTTGCCTGAAAAAGGACCACGAGGAGGAGGTCTATGTTGAAACTCAGGAGGAGGAAAGTCATGCTGCTGGCCTTCTTGTTGGACTGGTCCTTGAGAGTCTTCAGGAAGAGTAGAAGATTGATGCTGAAGCCCTTCTGCAGATTGTTCCTGCTGTGGATTATTTACTTCATTCTCAACAGCATCAGAGGACACTTGTTCCTCTCCTGGTGGGGAATCACTCTGTGGATCATTTTCAGCCTCAGGAGCAGCAGAGGCCACTGGGACTGTGCTCTGGCTTTCAGGATCTGTATGGGTGGGGACAGAAGAGAAGAGCACATTGGTGAAAGAATTTCCTTTTGTTTTCTTTCCCTGACCTGATCACACAATCCTTTCTCCCAGAACCTGTCTGCCAACTGCTAACTTCTTCTTCCACACATCCTTGTCCTTGGCTTTCTAAATCTACATCCCAATGAGACAGAAGGTTTGATATTTGTATCCTAGGACAAGCATGTGTCCCTACAGCTGGAAAACATGAAAGTCTGAGGACCCTTATTTATCACATGAGAGGTCCCCAAAGGCAAAAAGGCAGTAATGCAAAAGAAGAATACATTAACATGAGGAAGGTTTCCAATTGTGATTAAGGACACTTTATGAACTCCCTGCCTGTGCAAGGGCTTCTAGCCCTGGTTTTTGAACCCTAGGATGAAATTTGACTTAGCTTTTCAATATTTTACATCTACACACTGAAACCCTGAGAGAAGAGAACAAAATGGCCACCACCAAATTCAATAATAAAAGTCTGGGGACAATTTGTCATTTCTTTTTAAATCAAAGACAGTTACATGGTGAATGGGGAAAACAGCAGAGAGAAAACAGGGAAAGCCAAGTGTTTCTCCATCTTGTTCATGAACTGTGTAATGATAGACAGGAACACTGAGGAAGAGGGAAGCCACAGACCCTCCCACTACCAGGGGAGGCAGCGTTAAGGCACTTTTGGTTTCTGCCTCATCTGACAGAGATCACTTCTGGATGGAAAGCAGACATATTCATTCTGCTATTATGGAAGGTTGGTCTCTCTATCATTCAGCTAACTGAACTCAATCACATTCCAAGTATCAAGGTCGGGGAATGTGTTTATATCTTTAGAGAAACCAATATTTATTCATTCCAGAGACAGCAAATATGGTAAGACAACATACTGAAACACAGACCATTGAACAACATGGAAGGATGATGGATTGGGCTTTACCAGCTGAAACAACAGAAGGATCCTCTACAAATGTGGCATAGGATGAACTGAAAATTCAGATCACAATCTTTCAGAGCTTACAGATGTCCTGCAAGAAAATGTGACTTTCCAGAATCAAGCTTCTGAGCATGAATGAGCTCAGGAGTCAGCCTCTGAGACACTCCTGGAAAGGATCTGGGATGCAAGAGCATGTACGGATTCCCTGTGCTGCCACCCACTAGCTCTAAATAGAAAACCTTTTATCCTCCCTGCACATCTACAAAACAAACAGCTCCCTTTCCCTAAGTATGCTGCATATTTCAGTCACCTTAAGGCTATGTCTCACAGTTTGTTCCTTCATTAATTCTTAGAGCTCTCAAGAGGTAAATCAAGGAGTACACATGATACAAAGTAACACATACTGCCTGAAGCATACTAAAACTCTGAATGTAGGCCTGAGTAAAATATTTAGATTGGGCTCCAATACTTGTACTTAAGTGTCTAGAGCATTGAATTTACTCTGTAATTCTTTGATCTTGAACTAATCCTGGTGATTTTACCTATATCATGTGTCTGGCATCCACTGTGCAGCAAGGACAGCTGATCCCAGTATTCACTCTGATTATCAGAAGATGCTCAATAATCTCAACATTTTTCCATGCCTCTTTAGAGCTGGACAGCACTTTTCTAAACACAAATGGGCTATCTTGTTCTTCTGCTCAAGCCTTTTATGCCTTCCAGACTAAATATTAAGTAAAAAGAGTATGTTGTGTGCTGAGGATATCTGTTCTAACCCTTATCACAGATATTCTGTTGGACTGTCTTTCTTCTCACCTGATTCTGTCCTTTCTCTCCCCCCTTATCCTCTCTTTTCTTCATTCTTTCTCTTGAAAGTCTCCATCTCCCACCCTATAAGGCTTTGTACCTCCATCGGGGCTCTGAGCTGAGCTCAGGACCAGCAAGGCCGCTGTGAACAGAACTGCCAGCATCTTGGAGGAGGCTCTGGAGTTGTTCTCAAGTGTTGTGATATTCAAGGCCATTCCCTTTATAAAAAGGAGCATAACAATGGAATCTTTGATCCACAATTGGAAGACCTAGCTCCATTATTTCTCTTTGGGACTTTAGCCCAGCAGGGTGGAGTGTAGAGGAGATTGTCAACATATCCTATCTGGAAGGAATAACATGAAATGTGGTGATGTGGTTAAAGGAACATTGTCTCTTCACAGAAAGTTAATATTCCATTATGTATGTACCACATTTTCAGGCCATTTAGTAGTTGTACGATATACGTTGTTTCCCTACCTGGCTATTGTAAAGAGAATGGCAATGAACATGGATGAGCCAGTATCTGTGAATTAGGACGTTGACTCCTTTGAACATATGCCGAGGTATATGGATATGTGATATAGCTGGGTCATAAGATAATGTATATTTAGGATGTCAGAATTCTCCACCTCTATTTCCATATTGATTGCTCTGGTTTGCACACCCACCAAAGGTGGATGATTGAAATGAGAGCCAAAAGGGCATATATATATATATATATATATATATATATATATATAATATATATATATATATATATACACACATGTGTGTATATATGTATATGTATATATATATATATATGAACACTTATCAATTTGTTAATGGATATTATGGGAAAAAAGACTCGTGGATACAGTATAAGGTATATCTAGTTGCAGAGCCCTTCAATTTGCCCAGGAAAGATGGAGGTAGACACATGTCAGTTCACTCTGCATGACTCAGTCTCCACCACCCAAGCGAGAGCATGAGTGTTTGCCTCCTCCTAAGTTTTAAGCAGTCATGTACCCAGAAAAAAAAAAAACACCTCTATGGGTCCAAGGTCATTGGCAGAGCCAATTCCCACAACACATGAGGGTTCCCTTTTTCAAACATCCTCCCAATCATTTGTTGTCAACTGTTTTCTTGATATTGGCCATTCTGAATGGTGTGAGAGAAAATATCAAAGAATTTTTATTTTGGAATTATATAACCCTAACAATATTGACAATTTTTGTAGTACTTGTTATCCATTTTATTTCTTTGTTTTGAACTCTGTCTATAGGTCTTTTGCCCATTTTCATTTGAGCTTTTCCACTTTCTTGATTGGTTATTTGATTGTTCATTTATTTTGAGTTCCCTGTGCATTCTGGATATTATTCTCCTCATAGAAGCATAGCTGGCAAAGAGTCTCTCTCAACATGTGACCTTCATCTTTACTTGATTATTTCATTTGCTGAACAGATATTTAGTTTTATGAGATCCCATTCATCAATTATTTTCCTTAATTCCTATGTAAAAGGAGTCTTATTCAGAAAGTACTTTTCTATAACTGTATCCTGCAGATTGCTGCCTATTTTTTCTTCTGGAAGTTTCAGGATTTCAGAGTTCACATAAGATTTTTAATCATTTGGAGTTTATTTTCTCTATAGAGTGGTAAATATGGATCTAATTTCATTCTTCTACATGTAGACATTGTTTAGCCAGCTATTTGTTGAAGATGCTGTCTTCCCTCCACTACGTATTTTTATTTTATTTTTTCTTTTTTCTTTATTAAGAAATTTTCTACTCCTCTACACACCACCCACAGAACCCTCCTCCTCCCTCCTCCCACTTCTCAGCCCTCTCTCCCAAACCACCCCACATACCCACATACCCACATACCCACATACCCACATACCCAAAATCAAGGTCTTCCATGGAGAGTCAGGAGAGCCCGGCACACTGAGCCTAGGCAGGTCCAAGCTCCTTCCCACTGTACCAACGCTGTGCAATGAGTCCACAGGCACCGGATTCCCAAAAGCATACCCAAGCACCAGAGAAGGATCCCAATCCCCCTGCCTGGGTGCCCCCCAAACAGTTCGAGCCACTATGTATTTTTAGGATCCTTATCAAATATCACAGGGCTGTAACTTGACACAGTCCTGTGTGGGATTCCTATTTCATTCCATTGACCATGTGTCTGGTTTTGCTAGTTCCATGCTGTTTTTATTAGAATAGGTGTATAACACAGCTTTGAATGTGGTAATGTAATCCCAACAGAATTTTTTTTCTCAGAATTTATTGACTATCCAGGGTGTTTTTATGGTTCCACAAAAATTTTAGGATTATTTTTTATTTCTGTAAAAATCTCAAGAATATTTTGGATGGGATTACATTGAATCTCTAAATTTTATTAGGATAGTCATTTTTACATTATTAGTTATAACAAACCATTATCCTGAACAATCTTTCCATTTTCTAGTGCATTCCTTAATGTGTTCTCTTCAGAGATTTGATGTTTTCAATGTAGAAAATTCACAAAACTTTAGTCAAGTTTCTTCATAGATAGTTTTTGATGCTACTGAAAATGAGATTGTTTCTAGTTTGCCATTTCTCATTGTTTGTTTGTTTGTTCAAGTATATGGGAAGGATGTTATTTTGTTCTAATTGATTTTGTATCCTGCCCCTTTGGTGAAAGTGCTGATGATTTCTAGAAGTTTTACAAGGTAAATGCATAGGTCTACAAAATATTATACTGAGTGAGGTAACCCACACGCAGAAAAACAAATGCTTGACATTCTCTTATGTATGTGGATCATACCTCTGAATATTTAGATATAAATAAACAGAACCTGGAGTTACCACAGTAACCAGGGAAGTAAAAAGACAAAAAGGCATTAAGGAAGAGAAAGAGTTCTAGAGAGGACAATGGTAGGATAATGGTGCTATGAGGGGAAACAGAAAAAAAGAGGAGACCAATAAGAAGGGTAAATAACACTAAATATATTGGAAAATGATATGGGAAGCATATATTCTATTTTTATTCAAAATACATGCAGAAAACATAAATATATATGTATCCAAACAAGTACATACATAGTTTAAATGAAGTTACCTCTCTTGGTAGATAATGCCTCCCCCAAGAGGCATAGACAACCTAACAAAAACTGTAAGGGGACCATGGGAAACATCCTTTACAATTGTGGGTCCAAAAGACCTCCAAACAATATCAGCTATTTCCATTGTCCTGGGTTGCCTTCCAGAACATGATGGTAAGAGCCTATTACAGATGATACTACATCTTTTGGACATAGGACTTGGAGGAGTCAGGTTTGAACAATCCTGGAAGCTTCCTGCCTGAAGACTTGCTTCCATTGCATCCCAAAAGTTATGAGAGTGTTGCTAAGGAAGAAAAGAGGTCAATAGTGTCCCTAGAGAAATCAACTACATTCTCAATACTTAGCTTTATACACACAGACAACTGTAGCTCTTTACTTTCATTAAAAACAAAACAAAAAGCCGGGCGGTGGTGGCGCACGCCTTTAATCCCAGCACTCGGGAGGCAGAGGCAGGCGGATCTCTGTGAGTTCGAGGCCAGCCTGGTCTCCAAAGCGAGTTCCAGGAAAGGCGCAAAGCTACACAGAGAAACCCTGTCTCGAAAAACCAAAAAAAAAAAAAAAAAAAAAAAAAAAAAAAAAAAAACAAAAAAACAAAAAAAAACAAAACAAAACAAAAAAAAAAACAAAAAACAAAAAAACCTTCTGCTGTAACAGGAAAACAATAAACAGAAATGTTCAACTGGTCAGAGTCCAGAGAAGAACAGCCTCATGGTGTCCATCCCCACTTTATACTTCTACACCACAACCCCTACACATATGGCTCAGAAAACATTATGGAAGAGGAAGCAGAATGACTGTAAAAGACAGAGGACTAGGACATCTGTAAGATAGTGTCTTTTACACATGACAGGAAACTGCACCCCTGAAATCTCAATGAGCGTTACCTAAGGACAACCAGCACAATGACAACACCACTTGGCCTGCCCACATAGTTGGTGGAAATCATATAAAGTCACACTCCTGGGTAAAGAAATACAGTAAATTAATGAATGCTGAGACAGAGAATCTTATTCTTCTACTAGGATGAGCCTGCGTATATCCAATTTCAAGTGGCCTGCCCTAAACACATACACATACAGGCAACACTAGATAGGTTCAGCCAGTGATATTTATAAGCATGTGTGAGTATGTGTGTATCAATAATCATTAAATCAGATGTCATGAATTTGAAAGGAAATGTGAGAGGAGAAAAAGACTTAGAGAGGTTAGGAAAGGATAGAAATTATGAAAGTACAATACTCACATATGAAAGTCTCATAGAAATTTTTTAAAACAGGAATATTTTTCCTGCAACAAGCCCAGGTTTGGAATTAAATTTTCTTCATTATTTTAATGTCAGTCTAGTTGACAGTGCTTGATCACACTCAGTGTTGTTCATGTGTGTTCTGGAGTGGAGGAGGTGTAGAGGTGTACCAATAGAGACCATACAGGATTCAAAGAACACAGTGATCAGTGCATCTCCCATGATGACTCAAGCCAGATCTCCATCAATCATAATATATGTGCCATTTGTGTGTGATACTTAACTATTGTTTTGGTGATATGGGTGTGATTCCTACCCAAGCCTCTAATGTGTTAGGATATTACTTTGACATTAGATTTAGAAGATTGACCATCAGTCTGTGCAGGCCCAAAAAGCCTTTCTCAATCTCAAACCACCTGATTCTAAGCAGAGATGCCCTGTTGATAAAGATTACATGGTCTATGACAGCTGTGGAACCTGAATAGGACCAGACTAGATCCTCTGCATACGGGAGACAGTGGTATAGTTGGGTCTGTTTGAGGGGCCCCTGGTGTGTGATCATTATCTATCCCCTGGTGCATGAGCTGGCTTTCTGGATCCCATTACCTATGGTCAGACACTTTGCTCACCTTGATACACTGGGAAGGGGCTTGGTCCTGCCTCTACTGTATATACTAGGCTTAGCTGTCCGTGCCCAACTTACCATTTTAGAGGAGAGAAAAAGGGGATTCAAGGGAGGAGCTGGGGAGGAGGGCAGGAAGAGGGTTGAGAGGGGGTCTGTGGTTGGTATGTAAAATGAATAAAAAATTAAAAAACAAAAGATTACATGGTCCAAAAAAGTCTCATTTTTATTAAGATTCTAAAGGTTGGTAAAGTATAAATGGCCAAAACCTTCAAAGGAATTTAGACAGTGACGTGAACACATATTTTCCAGAATTAATGTGTTTCATGTTGTGAGAGTTCTTATAAGAGTGCCCCCTTCTCCAGCATGTTTCATGAGGCTGAATTTGAGTGTTCTTCTTCCTCTAAGGAGTAGTTTTATTATCAGTCATGACATGTGATTGACCACATTAAACCTGTGCTTAGGATGGTATACACAGCTTCTAAGTAGGAATTATGTGTCTGTCCTGCCTGTACTGTATACAGCCCCCTTCTATGATGCTTTCTGGTTGATTTTCAATAAAGAGTTTTCTGTCAAATACTGATTCTTGTTATTGTACATTTTCCTTGTGAAAATAGATTGTTAATATTCCCTGTCATGAATTAATTTAATTTTTCACATGTATCACATTTATTCTGGGACAATCTCTGCATTTAGCCTTCTAATATTGCTAATTTTACCTTTCCTAAATTATGTTCATTCTTAATTTTGAAAACAAGATATTCTATGTGCAGTGACTCTTCTTTGGGTGAATGATCTGATGGCTCTTTTCTCTCCTATTATTAGCTTTATTATACCTAACATTGTTTGTTCAAAATTTACTTGGATAATTCATATTGGTCAGTAAGCACAGCTGCCTGTATCATTCAATACTCTGTGGGGAATTGCATGATGTTCAGATTATTGCAGGGTGGTGGTATGTTAGGGACTTTGGATTGAGATAAGGCATCTAAGGTCATATGGGTAGAAATCTCTAAGAAGTCTCCCTCAACCATTGTAAATCATGGAGTCTGGGGCTCTGCCTATGAAAGTCAAAGGTGCAGAGATTATTACAGGTAGGCCTAAAAAAAACTGTTAGCCAATGATGATGCAGCCCATAAAGACCAACAATGATAATATAATTTATTCAGACTTTAATGGGTGTGTATTCTAAAGGGTAGATACTAGGACTTGGCAAAACTACTCCAGTTATGACTTCATAGTTTGCCCTAGACTGATGGGCTTTAATGGAGAAAGAGAAGGTGATTAGTCCTGGCATCCCTTATATTTAGGCCAGGACACTGTCTTATTTCTCCAGGTACTAAATGGAAGTGAGAATGGTCTGAGAGGTCTTCAAAGGGTGGTTTAAAAAAGCTTCAAGTGGGAAAGGTAGAGAGAAACAGCCAGGGGAAGAAGCAGGCTGCACTTCTCATACTGTGGACACAGAAGTCCTGGGGAAAGTCAGCCTTGACCTTGGCTTGATGTGTCCTGAAACGGAGTAGCTTCTGCCAAATGTCACTCGGCTCAGCTCCCTTGCCTGACCTTCTTCATTGTCAGCAATGAGTGAAGAGGGTAATGTATCATGAAAGAAAAATATCACCTCAGAACTCAATGGATACCGTGAAATCAGATTACGGAAGAGCTCACAAGCAAAGCTATCAGGGAGGAAGATGGGGATGAAGAAATGGGCAGGTGTCAGCTTCAAGTCAGTCATTATAAACATTTTGTTTTGTTGTAATTTTATAATATTTAACACAATTATTTATTTATAGACTATTTATTTTTGTTGTTTGAGAAGTCCATACATGTATATAATGGGTTTTGATCTAATCCATCATTTTTCTCCTCTTCTCTAATTACTTAGCTATCCAGTCAACTGATATTTTTTCATAATTCCACATCCTCTTTCTTAAGACATATTGAGTTCACCTGGATTGCACTGGTGTAGGACTAGATTATTTAGCTTAAGATGGTGATGCCCATGTTATGTATATTTTTGTGAAAACAACGTAATTTTAATCTTTTATTCTTATGCTTTTTACTTCATATTTGTATCATACAAAGAAATGGCTTGGCTTTGATATATTCATACATACATTTCACTGTCCTTTTCTCATATGCATCTCTAAAACTATATTCCTCCATTCTTTCTAATACCAATCATCCTCTAAACTCACTTACTTATGCTTTCATGATTTGACTCTGTGTGTGTGTGTGTGTGTGTGTGTGTGTGTGTCCCATTAAGCCATATTTTGTGCTGCACATATTCTTAGATATGTAGCCTTCCAAAAGAGCACAGTAAATTACAGAGGACAATACTCTTAGAGAAAACTGACCCTTCCTTTCTCAGAAGTTGAAAGCTGCCAATAGCTCTACAAGTAGGGATGAACTTCCATACCTGTTTCCCCTCTACATGCTGGGATACCATTCAGTAATCCTCTGGATTTCACTGGTATCTGCTCTAATGCTCTCTTTTATTTTTAATTTTCTTAATTTACAACTTCTTGTTTATGATTGTTTATTCTTTGCTTGATATTGCTTGTTTGTTGTTGAAGACAAGGCCTCATGTATCCCACGCTGGCCTCAAAATTATTTTGAAGCCAAGGATGACTTTGATTTTTATCTCCTTCCTTTGTATCCCAAATGATAAGGTTATACTTTAATTAAATGCTAAGGTTATAATTTAATGTATTGTTTATTGCTACTTATATCTCAAAAATGCTTAGTCAATTCATTAACACAATAATGCTTTCTAGAGCAAAAGGGCCTGATGCAATTCACTCTGGCCAGCACAGGCTAAGCAGCTCACCTGGTGAACCTCACTTCAATTTTCCAACCACAAAGGGGAGTAATGATTTGATGTACCAGATGGATTCTACATTTTAATGCATTTGAAGGCCTTAGTACTCTTCAGAAACAGAGGGACAGGTGGTCCTCCAGTGTGACAGGAGGAAATTAGTAATTCTGTCTGAGCCATGTTGCCTTTGAAATAGATTTAGAACACGAGTGACAGAGAACCTCCAGAGCCCTGGGAGCTAAAGGGTCTGTTACATGGGGCTCATTGCTTCAACCCCACTCTTGCTAACTCAGTTTTCTCTCTCAGCTTTTCTCTAGATTCTATTTTTATTATCTCCAATGAGTTCATAGCTCATATTTCTATTTAATAATACATTAATCTCTTTACTGATTGCTGACAGTGAAAAAAATCTGGGATGGACTTTAGCTGAGTGACATTTGTCAGAATCACACGCTATCTTTTGTGAACCAGGAAAAGATGGACTGTAGTTGTTTCCCCCCAGTACCGCCATGTCCAATCTCACCTACATAACATGAGTGAGTCTGCCTGGCTCTCTCCTTCGCTCTCCTCTCTAGCTAATTTCTCACCTGAAGGTCTACCATGTGCCACTGTTCAGGACCTCACATCTCCAGGTTCCCTCCCAATTAGTATCTTGGACCAAGTACTTATGTTCTGTCTCTTTAAACACTCATAAACATGGGGAAATCTTTCACTATGACATCCTGCCATCGTCTCTATCCTCCACTTTTCTCATGAACATATTCTTCTTTATTCATCTGCTCCTACTGTGATCAATTCTGGTAATTAATTGAGCAGTTTTTCTTCACTGTGGAGCCCGAGGGCTCTGCTCTCCGGTGTTCCACGTCAGACCCTGTGCTAGGTGGAGCTGGGCTGAGCAAAGCCCTCTGAGGTTTGGCCTCTGCTGCCATGACTTTTCCGTTTGATGTGGTGAGAACAGGTTGTTCCTGTTCAAAGGCCAATTCATTATTCCCTGTTGTTCCCTCCACTTCTTGTGCACAGCTGGAAGAGGTTGGTTTCTCACTTCCAGCTGTTGCTGCTATACTTTGGATTCAGGGAAATGGTAACATGCAGATTCTTGGAAAATATTCCCAAGATTTTCTGGGTTTGTTGTCTAGTTGTTCAGTCAGTTTTAAGTGATATTTTTAAATATTTAAAAAGAAGATTCAGTTGCCTATGCCTTTCCACAATTTCATCATATTAATTTTTACAATTAAAAAAATCACTTCACTGTAGATTGTAGTTTACCTGTTTTAACTAAACGAAAACATGTTTTGATCTTCATTGCTTAAATTATGAAACTGAAAATCTTTGTTTCTGATAAAAAACATAGAACTATTTTCCTCAGATTGGTAAAACATGAAAGGCTTGAACGTCACTTACATGTATATACATGTATGTTTTATGGAAATTCCTAAATACTAATTTTTAAATGAGTAAAATCAGGAATTCCACAGTAGAACTAAATGTTTAAAAACATTTAATATTCTCTTAATCAGGTGTGCTTCTTATCATTTGCAGTTTGAATACTTGAAACTTAAAGAAGGTTTAGATACAAGGTGATGTCCACTATGACATGGAACTAGAAATTATAGTGAAGGGAAAAGAAGCATGAAATATACAAAAATGTAAATCTTCATGGGGAAAAGAAATAACTACAACAAATACCAAAATGGGAACTGGACAAAATAAGAAATCAGAAGCTGAAACAGACAGTTTGACATGTTTTGCAACACGATCACTGATTTCCGGGATGAGAAAAAATGACACTCAGTTTTGAGAATGATTCTGTTGGGAAGGAGACTTCTTTTCTCAGCTGAAGGTACAAAGGGAGAGAGGGAGAAAGTGAGGAATAAGTAAAAAGAGGAAGGGACAGGAGGAAAGAGAGAATGAGAAGGAAGATGAGCATGCCAGGCTTAGTGGGGCAGGCTTTCACTACATAGAGGACATTCCAGGCTGACCAGGGAAATGCAGTGAGGCCTTGACTCAAACAGAACAAAACCGAGAGGAGCATTTTATCCTGATAAGGTCTGAAAGTGGTTAGAGGAACTAGTTGATCTTTGTCTTCATTTGGGTACCCGGGCGAAATATCCTCTTGTCTGATGACTCCAACTTGTACCACACAGGTTACTTGAGCTTGAGATATGATGACAAATGATCCCTAATGCTGTGATAGTGCAATGTATTGTGTGGGCACTGCCTCAAGTGTGGATATCATGCTTCTATCCAGAATCAAATTTCAGAGTAAAATTCTCACTCCATAATTCCTTGCACAGGCCCTTTTCAGTTCATGTTCAAATTACTTTTTATGTGGGTTTAATCTGCTACTTCCTGCTAAAGACCCTCCCTCTTCTGACTGCATATAGTTATGCTCCACCTTTCCCGAAAGAGCTGTGTTTTCAAGAGGTCAGAAGTTATCCCTCAAGTTTTCCATCTCTTAAGAATCCACAGAACCAATAAGAACACATACCCAAGCCCCAAATAAACAAAACTTATGAAACAACCCAAGATTCAACTTGGAGAACCATGATTCATGGCAGAATTATATCCAAGAATTCAGAACACAATAAAATGTATGTTGCCACCAAGGACCATGTGCAGCAATGTTTGAGTGGAGAAGAGTCCCAGAGGTATTCCTCCTCACCATCACTGGATGACAGTGTACCTACCTTGTTCAATATTGTATGATCTAAAGAGTAAAACTCAGATGGAAAATAGCCCATCAATAATAACATTATATCTGGGAGATGTACCTGTGTGCTTGCCTAGTACACATGAAGCACTAGGTCTGTTCCCCAGTACCACATAAGAAGAACATAGTGATGCACAGCTGTCATTCCAGCACGAGGGCGAAAGAGGCAAGAGGATCAGAGAGAAGTGCTATGCACAGGGGCAGGTATGGTAGAGAATAGGAGGGATCAGGTGAGGGAGGATTGATGGGAGGGAGAAACTACTGGAATAGCTGAATAGTTAGGGCCAACATGGAAACCTAGTGCAGAGGGAACTTCCTAGAAGCTATGACGGTGACCCTAGGGTGGTCTCCTAGTAATGGAGGATGTGAAGCCTGAACCAGACATCTTCTGTAAGCAGATGAGTCTCCTAGTGGTGGGACTGGGACCCCACCCAGCCACGATACACTCAACCTACAACCTGTCCTGCCTGCAAGATGGTCTGAGTGGTGGCAAAGAGCTTGTATGTGTGACCAACCAATAACTAGCCTAACTTAAGACCCAAGCCACTAGAGGGAATCCATGCCTGACACTGCCTGAATGATCAGGAACCTGAACCTGGATGACTCAGGGATCTAAGATAGAACCAAACATGAATGACAAAAAAAATAATAATACAATGATTCCTAATGATATTCTGAAATTCTCTTAGATCAGTGTCTACCCCAATTATCATCAGAAAGTATTCCTTCATCAGTTAATAGGAGTACATGCAGAGGCCCACAGGGAAACAGTAGGCAGAAGTCTGGGAACCCCTCAAAAGATGAGGAAAGATTGTAGGAGCTTGAGGAGTTGAGGATACCAGGATATAACAGACCACAGAATCAACTAAGCAGTGCTCATAGTGGCTCACAGACACTGAAGCAACAATCAGGAAGTCTTCATGCATCTGCACTAAACCCTCTGCATGCATGCTGTGGTTGTTTAGATTGGGGTTTTGTGGGACTCCTGACAGTGGGGGTAGGTGTTTCTCTGCCTCTTTTGCCTGCTCTTGGGACCCTTTTCCTCCTGTGGGGTTGTCTGACTCAGCCTTGACAGGAAGGTTTATGCTTATTCTTATTGCATCTATTATGCAGTGTTCTGTTGATATCCCTGAGAAGCCTGCTCTTTTCTTAAGGTAAACAGAGAAGCAATAGATCTGGGGAAGAGAGGGGCCGAAATTGGGGGGAGTGGAGAGAGGGGATCCTGTAATCTGGATGTATTGTTTGTGAAAAATATTTTAAAATGTTCAAGGTCTTCTACAATTACATAGCAACCAAAGACCAGCCTGGGCTCCATAAGACCCTATCTCAAATGCAACTAAAAAAATTTATATCCTCACGTGGACATCAATCTACACCATCCTTAAGGACAAATGGTCAGGACTTTTGCTGTCTTTTAAACACATTCAATACAAGTAAAGAGGGAGAAAGAGACATTAGAGAGTCCTAACAATTAAAAGATGTCACTCCATTATAATTTTTTCAGATTCAATCAATAGAAGTAAGTATAAAATAAGACATTTATCATTTATGAAACTTTTTGATAATTGAATACTAACGTCTTAGTAATATTTTAATAATATCTTTAGTAATACTTAGAAGTTATTGCACAGTTATTTTAGATGCAATAAAATGGAACAGAAAATGCAAGCTGGGGCTAGAAGCATAAAAACCAGGCTGGTAAACTGGAGAATGGTAAGAATTATTCAGGTTTTGAAATTGCCATAGATTTACGTCCTCTCAGTTTCCTTTAAACCAGAATGAGTCTCAGTGAGAGATCTGAAAATCATTTTTTAAAGTATGAATTTGTACTACAGAAAAGAAACTACAGGAAGAAACAGGGAGTTACAGGACCATACAACGCTTTCATTTGCTATCAGTGTTGTGGGCTAAAAAGATGGAAAACTTTCCAAGTGCTCATGGTGTGTTTTTGTAGATGTTTTTATGTTGTAGCCACAGCTCTCAAATTCTCCCCCCTGCTTTACTGAAAAATACAGAAAACACTCAGAAATTACATGTGGAAAATCTTATTGGGATCGTGTAGAAAGTCAACAATGGTTCCTTGGCCTATTTTTCTAAAGTACATAATCTTCTCGGGCACTCTCTGAAACAGAAAAGGAAGGAGGAAAGTGACTGAAAATTGGAACATGCTGGGGTTTCAACTGCTACTGTACCACTGAAGTGAGAGATGGAAGCCTGACCTTCTTCTCCTCCATTTCCTTTGGGGAGGGGAGGTTTACTCTTGCCAGGCACAGTGCAGAAAATATAACTTAGCTGTTTTTTATAAGAGGAAACTGAATGATGGTTCTTAGCTTGTTCATCCTTTGGTTCTGATTTAAAATGTTCAAGGATATATTGCCAAAGGTGTTCAGTGCAATGTTTCAGCTATATCTGGTGAACTCGTAAGTGATACCTTTATTTAATACATATTAATCACTTCACTCACTGTTGAAAGTGGAAAAGTCTGTGAAAGGGCTTGAGTTGTTGTACTTGGCACATTCACTTCCTGTCTTTTGGAAGCCAGGCAGCAATGGACTGGGATGATTTCCCCAGCTTTGGTGCTTCTGTTGCCCCGTAACAGCACCAAGCCTGCCTGGCTTCCCCCTCTTTTCTTTCTCTCTGGTCTACTTTGCCAACTTAGGATCTACCATGTGCCACTTAGTCAGGTCCGTCATCTCCAGGTTCCTTTGCATATGGTGTCTAGAGCACTCAAGACCCAGTAGGACCAACTACCAACACTTTGTCTCCTGAAAACTTCATGAGCATGGCGAGAAAGTATGGCT